ATTGTAAATCTTGTAACTCGCAAGTCTAAAATTATAATAATAAATAATAGTGCAATAGCCATTTGCTTCTTCAAAAAAAAAAAATAATTAATATATTTAATTAAATATTATATTTTTATATTAATTATATATTGTATATATATTTTTTATAATATAAAATAAAAATTTTTAAAAATTTATAAAATATATTATATAATATTATTAGTTAAACAATTAAATATTTGTTTATAATAATATACTTTTTTATTATAATTTATCAAACAAATTTTTTTATATTGAACAAGTATATATTATTATTTTTTTTATTATAAATATTTAATTTTTTTATATTTGTTAAATTATATCTTGGTTATTCTTTTTAAATAAACATAAAAAAAATACTATTGGTTATATAGTATAAATATATTATTGAAGCTCATTTAAATAATATCAAATTTAGAATTATTTTGTTTAAGTTAAATATTTTTATTACAATTGTTTATGATATTATCAAGTATTATAATAAAAAAGATATTACATAATTAAAAAAATAATTAAAATAATCAAAAAAATTTTTTAAATTTTAAAAAAAACATGATTTAAAATAAATTGTTTATAAAATTATTTTATTTTTCTTAATAATATTGCAAATAAACTAAATATAAAATTAAATATTACCTTTTATATTAGTATGGTTTATAAATATATTTATAATATAGTTTTAAAAAGCTCAATATTATATAAAAAGTTTTTTTTAATAAAAAAACAACAATTACATAATTAAAATAATATATATTAAAATAAAGAATAAAAAAATGTTATATGGTCTAATAATTCTAAATTTATGTTTTTTAATTTAGATAATTAAGTTAAAATATAATGAAAAATTAGTGAAGTATATAATAAAGGTTGTATTGTATCTACAATTAAATTTAACAAGAAATTTTAATATTTTAGAATTGTTTTGATTAAAATGAAATTGATTTTTTAATAAAAGTAATAGAAAATATAAATTTTAATATGTATGTTAATATTCTTGTTACTTATTTTATATCCTTGACTTATGAAAATTTAAATGTTATTTTTTTAATAAGGTAATATAACATGTCCTATATTTTCATATATAACTTGGTAAACAGCAATTTATAATCTTTGAATTTTAGATTAAATAGTGCAAATTCCAGATTTAAACCCAATCAAAAATTTATGAGATTATTTAAACTATCAAATATATAAGAAGAACTTTTTACCTAAGTCTAAATTAGAATTGGTAAAAGTGACACAAAACAAATGAACAAGTATTAGCTTAAATATAATTCATTACTTAATTTTAAGCATGTCTAATGATATGAAAAAAATTATAAAGATCAAAGGCAAGCATACAAAATATTAACTAGAATTTTGAAATTTTAATTATTAAAATTAAAGAATTTAAATTTTATTTTTAAAAAAATTTTTTTTACATGTTATTATAAAAATGGCAAAAAATAAAAAAAAAAATTATTATGAAAATTTTTTTTCAATAGGTTAAACAATTTAAATACGTATATTATAAAAAACTTTTATATTTTTAAAATCTAGTAATACAATTAAAAATTTTTTCTATAATTTATATAATTATTTGATTACATAATCAACTGTATTTATAATAATAAAGTTTAAGGGTAAAAAAAATTATTGACGCGAATTTTTATGAATTGAATTTAAAGAAAGTTCTGTTCTTTGTTGTACATTTACAATTAACATATACAGCCCATTATGCAAGTGAATAATTTGTTATGTTTAGCTGATTACTTTCTAACCACTTCCACACTCGAATAGACAACTCTTCTTTCTCTCTAGTAAAGGATTGACGATACTTTGGATTGAAGATGCACCACAACCCAATCCATACCTTCTTTCCCACCCAACACATACTTTCCCACAATAAAACAGTACCATATGCAACTGTTGTCCAAAAAAAGAGGAATAAGCATGCTCCTAGAATGACGATCTGTTCCTTGTTATCAAACTCATATAAATCAAACCTTCGTATTAATTTTATGGTTAAAATCGAGTAAATAAAGTCAAAAATAATGAATAATGGAATTCCTGTCATCATTTTCCACGTGGCAATGACATCTCGTCCAGGCCATCGTGTGATGGCAAGAGAATTGTCGTCATATAACATAGCATTTTCACCTTGCCTTTTACCAACGTATCGGGCAACCAAACCAATTGGACAGAATAATATCAGACCAGGAATAGTCAAAATGATCAAGATAAGGAAAAGTGGAAGATAAACAAATAACGATATTGGCGTCGTAGATGTATGATGAGGAGACAAATGATGATCGCGAAGTCTTTGAACATATGAAACAACATCCCGTTTTAAAGTACGAGCTTCATCCGATGGAGGGTTCGTGGAGGAATATTTCTGAAAACCCATTTTTTTTGTTAAATCACACATACAAATCAAACTATGAAAAGCAACAAATTACCTTAGCAATTCTTCTTAGTAAAGCTAATTTTTCTGAAAAATCTAATTTACGGGGCAGTAATTTTTCACGGTATAATCTAGAAGCGGTCTTGAAGAATAAAAGCGTGTTATAACTCGGTGCGTTGACAGTCAATTCTGATAAAGATTTCTGGATGATGTTCAGAAGTTCTTTACAAGCTGTGTAATTTAAAAATAGAAATAAATTACATAGTCGTAATCAGTTAAGCAAGACAATATACAAACAGGTGAAGAGAAAACGATGTTACCTTGACGTTTAGAATCTTTACCAGCGCGATACATTTCGATCAGTTCTTCATTTATTTCAATAGTTTGCCCTACTTCGATGAAGACTCGACTTCGAAATCGGTGGCGATTGAAAAAGTTCAACCCACAAGGAACGAGTTTTAGTTTTCTCGGCCTTCCTAAAGCGTCTGGTTCCTTTGATGCTAGGTAACCCAGGCTCATTACGGCGCAACCATACTTTAATGTCATCATGTGCTCGCTATCATGTGATATACCTTCGGGATAAATACAAACACTTTGAGATTGAGAAAAATGATTGTACACTGCCGAATAGACTTCAGAATGTGGAGGTAAGTGGGTATAAGTAAATGTTGTTGGAATGCTAGGAACCGGCGGAAGAATGGATCGTGTTGTGGTAGATCGATTAGATTGATTTGAGGAACCCTCAGCAAGCAAAGGTGTACATTCAGATGCTCCGGATCCAGAAGAGTTAGGTGGATGATTTGTGGTTTCCTCAGACTGTTCCTCAGGAATTTTATCATGAATTTGCGGTGGCAGAACCCCAGGTGAAGATGATAACCTTTCAAAACTTTTGCTTAAAGAACTGCTCAAAGACTTTGGTAAATTGAGATTTTCCAAGGTTTTTAAGGTGCTTCCACGTTCTACACGGATCTTAAAGCTACCATAGTCGACGAGGCGTCTAAGTTGACCTTTACGTCTCCCTTTAGTTAACCATCTCATTCCTGGTTTCTTTATGCGAACTTTATTGTCATCAATAATTTCCTCGACAGCCCCGCAAGCTTCTTTCAATATGTCTTTATTATCAGGACCTTCAAATTCCACGTATAGCATATCACCGACTTGAACTTGTTTTCCAAGCTCTTCACCTGTAACCATCATTCCATCTTCAATTACCGTTACCATACCAACTCCATTAATCCTTTGAACATCTTGTGGTCGTATTACAGGTATGCATCCGAGCATATTAAT